CACTTGGGCCATTCTTGCTGTAGAAGTGAGCCTTCCATTCGTCCGTGCCATGAGCTGCAGAAGGCTCCTTGCCCACCGCAGTTTCCATTATTCTAATTTACACAAAATGAAGGGACCATGTGAATTTCACTATGTTTGTCAAGGCAGTGACAGACCCAAACACACCCATACTCAACTCTACTCTTTGGAGAGAGGTTGCAGTGCTGTAGTGCTGTCAGCAGGCTATTACATACTGGCCAAACAAATGTAATTAAAGAAGACTGTCTGAGAAGTGTTTCAGTCATTTCTAATGCTTTTCACTTATGATGGTCATTTTCTTAAGTGTAGTTGTGAACGGGATACTGCTTTCTGAAGGGGCTGCAGCTCTGCCGGTGGTACTTTATGATTTAGAAAGTACCTAACCTGGCTTCCATGTTCCTAGAAAACAGATGTGCAAAACTTACATATTGTTTGGTGTATCTTAATGAGTTTGTTTCAAAAAGGCTTCAAGACCTCAATAAGAATGGAGTATTCTTTAATTGTGAGTTATTTCAGAATCTTTTTATTGTCCAGGCTGCAAAGTATTCACATCAAAAGGAAAAGGAAAATTGCCACGACTTTTCTTGCAAGGTCGCATTTGACCTAGAGAAACGGGAAATTGTCAAACAGCCTTTAGCATTCTCAGTTTACAGACTCCCAGCAGAGATGTAAAAATGCACAAAGAAAATTAAATATCAATATTGCACTTTAAAAGAGCCTCAGGAATAATCATCCTGTTAAACTAAAACAAAGAAATGTAGAAATAGCTGGAAAAAGCCTGACTGCTCATAAGTAAGGAGATTCTCATCTGCTTGTAAGAATGGCAGAGGCATTAACTGCAAATTTGCTCTTTCTACTCCATTAAGATGATACATGAAGCAATGTTGCTGCATTCTTTTGTACCTGCTTATGTTAACTAAGGAAAGACTGGAAATGTCATTAGACTCTAGAAATGTCACAAATGTCACTTTGAATAGTTCTAGAGTGTCTATCTTTTCTTGGAAAGTTGCTCCCTCTGGTCTAGCATGACTTGGCCAAACATTGTGAGCATTAGGACGACAGCATGTAAACAGATTGTTTTCTGAATCCCCATAATCATTAAAAAGAATGTACTTCCATTTCATCATAATCTGGATAGATATTTTGAATTCCCCGTTACACAATTAAAACAGAAGGTGTCAGGGAGATTATATGCTACAAACATTGGGGTTAATGGTTACACTAATTTTTTTGAAAGTAAAAATTACTTGTGTTACCTTAGTCTCAGCTAATGCTAAGTGCTTTGTGTTGCAATTAGGGTTAGGATATTGGTGTAGTGAGGGATTACTCTCATAATAAAATAATAAAAAATATTTTAAAAGCCAGGACAGAAGAAAAGTAGGAAAGGAAATAAATCAGTAGTTGGTTCAGGAAAAAAGGAAGAGTCTATGAACTCCTGATGCAGAGTTTTGTCACCAGGCCCAAATCACCTGGGAATGGACCCTTTTTGTTTGCAGAAGGGAATTTTGATATGGATGGAATAATACATACTCTTTCTTCTGCTTCCAGTGCACAGCAACATGCAGTTAATTTTGTTCAAAATCAAAACAATCTGAATTATTCTTTATTCTTGTCAGCATACTTCTTGGAAGTTCTAGATAGCTCTATTACTATCAGCATGCTTAGAAGACAGGCCTTCCTGGCTGTTCCCTTTCTTCCTGCTTTCCATGTTAGTATTCAAGATAATAAAATTACATTTACTTTAAGAGACAAATCTGAGCAGCAAATGTTTAAGGCTGAACTGAAAGTCCAAACTAGTTTTATATCAGAAGATCCTTGACAGAGTATCTTATTTATAGTTATTTTGAAAGACATCATTGCAAATAAAATAAACTACAGTTTTAGATTAATTGCATGTTAAATATCACAAATAATCTCAGTAGTGAGATAGTGATATAACACTGGGCTGCACATACCAGCTTTTGTTTTGCAATAGAGTATTGCGTTATAATATGCATCCAGATTTGACATTTTTTGGTGACAATAATTATAAGACGACTCTCCTGAGGATGGTAAGATCATACCTTTTATATAAGAAAAGCCTGGTACTGGAAATGGACAAACAAAAGTATATGCAGCAAAAATTAATGTTAAATAACTAGAGTTACGATCTGAGAATTATTTTATGGCTATCCTGGTCTATAAGATACTGTTTACCCTTCAAACCATTACTTGAGTTTCGTATAGTGCTTTGTATTTCCAGTGCATTGCAGAAGTATCAGTTGCTAAGTGAAAAGTGTTACGTTGCTTGTATTGTTAAAAGTTGCTGCGTACATGTGAACTGGCCCTGAAGCTAATCTCATTTTGTTAACTTAATTAATTCACACAATTTAGTTTTGATGGAACATGCTGAATCCTTGTCAAAAATAACAATAAGTGTTGAAGAAAGCCTACAAAATATATGTTCTGTTGTCTTCTCTTACACTAGGCCAACCTAGGCCATTGAAAGACGTGGTCACCACAGACCACCAAAACGGGAATACAGTTGTTCCTAGGGAACTGCCAAAATAATACTGAAAATTGGAGCTGGGTGAATTCACTGCCCCAATACTGAATTTGTAGAAACATGCAGTTTAGGTCCTTCCAAAATTACCTGTCAAATTTTGCTTGATTCCTTTTCCGTACAAGGGGGCTTTATGTGACTGTTCAACTACTTTATACAAGTGAAACTGTAGAAGAGGAGATCGGAGTTACTGAACCTCAGCATACTCTGTGGTTTCCTCGGTGGAGGATCTGGGTCCAGATCAGCTCAGGAAGGGAGGGAACTGATGCTAGGTCTCCCACATCTCTGGTGAGGTTTCTGACTACAGAAATGCTGGGTGAAACAGTATATCTTCACGTTAGTTCTCAGTCTGTTTTCTTATTTCCTGTTTTGCTATTTGTTTTTCAATACAGTTGCTTGAAATAAAACGTTTTATTTCCAGTGCATGGAATTCTTCCTG